GAGGGGGTGGGTTGGGAGGGTAACGTTACGTTAAGTAATGAGCGCAAAGTAACGTTACGTATTGTAAAGTAACGGAAAGTAACGCGAGGCAAAATAACGTAACGCAATGTAAAGTAATGTTCAGTAACGTATAATAACGTGAATTAACGCAAAGTAACGCAAAGTAACATACATTAACATTAATTGGCGTAAACTAAATTTACGTTAAGTAAAGTTACTCTAAGTAAAGTAACGTACAGTAAAGTAACGTCCGGTAAAGTAACGTCCAGTAAAGTAACGTAAACTAAAGTTACGTAAAGTAACGTTACCTAAAGTAAATTAACGCAAAGTAACGTAAAGTAACGCTACGTAAGGTAACCCTAAGTAACGCAAAGTAACGTACATTAACGCAAAGTAACGCAAAGTAACGTACATTAACGTAAAGTAACGCAAAGTAACGTACATTAACGCAAAGTAACGCAAAGTAACGTACATTAACGTAAAGTAACGCAAAGTAACGTACATTAACGCAAAGTAACGCAAAGTAACGTACATTAACGCAAAGTAACGCAAAGTAACGTTACGTAAAGTAACGCTACGTACATTAACGCAAAGTAACGCAGTAACGTCGCAGGTGCCGGAGAACGAGCTGCGCAAGGCCGTGGTGGACCGCGTGCCCTCAGAGGCCGAGCTGCGCGTCCGACGGTCCCTGCAGAAGCTCAACATCCCTGACTGGATGAGGGACGCCCCCACGCCTGGGGAAGGATTCCTCCTGAGGCGTACCTCCTCTAATGCCCAGCCTCCTTGGGGGGTGGCCAAGCCCTGGGATAAAGGATCTACTTCGTCCATAACAGGTAGGGGTCCATAGCAGCTAGGGGATAAAGGGTTTACTTTGTCCATAGCAGGAGTGGATAAAAGGTTCACTTCGTCCATACCCTAACAAAATTTAGAGTCGCCCCAGCTTCTGGAAATCCAAATCAGAAGCTGCCGCTTCTGTAAATTTTCACTGGGTAGGTGTGGATATAAAGGGTTACTTCGTCCATAGCAGGTGTGGATAAAAAGGTTTACTTCGTCAATAGCAGGTGTGGATAAATAGGTTTACTTCGTCCATAGCAGGTGTGGATAAAAAGGTTTACTTCGTCCATAGCAGGTGTGGATAAAAGGTTTACTGCGTCCATAGCAGGTGTGGATAAAACGGTTTTTGATCCTCGACTTGGACGCATTAGATGGAGAGTAGTAAGTCGTAAGTATGGCTTAGCACTCCTCTGTTTAGTAATTTTTTTTTAGTAATTCAATATAGGTGATTAAATATGAATCAAATCCCTCTCGAGAATGTGCCCTATTTGGGCACGGTCTATGAGCCCATGGTCAATGGGACATCCCCGTCCATGGAAAAGGTTGAAGTAATTCTATCGAATTTAACGAAGGAATTTCAAAAATCGCCGAATTTTTATAGGAAGGAAGTTTTTCTGCTGCGAAATTGCCTATTTGTTTAATTATCAGCAGCATTTCGAAATTTATTACATTTTTTTTGAACCTCGTGATTTTTTTCCGTTTATTGGAGTGGTATTTTCATCCTACTATAATTGCATCCTTCTAGGGCCCTGCTCCATTTACTGGTGCTCATTTCTCCCTCCTGGGGCCTTGTCCTTTCGATTGGTGCCTATTTCTGATCACTGAGGCCCTTTTCTCCTTCCTGAGACCCGATTCCTTCTTCCTGGGGCCCAGTTCCTCCTTCCTGGGGCCCAGTTCCTCCTTCCTGGGCCCTGTCCCTCCTACAGGACCTGTACCCACTAATATCGTGCAAGTTTTAGGCCCAATAAAATAACTTAATTTTTTATTGGGCCTAAACTTGAGCTTAAACTTGACGTGTCGCAGATGCCGGCGGCGGGACGACTAGCGGCGCTCGTCTCCCGCGCTACAACTCGACGACAACGTCACCCTCGTCGGTGGCGGCCTCCCCCGCCACGTCGGGGGCGTTCCAGTACGGCGGCGGCGGCGTGGGTGGCGGAGGACATCCTTGGTCCCGCTGGTCCACGTCCCGCCTCAGCGGTGGGGACACCGCCAGCGCCTCCTCCAGACCCGCGTCGGGGACCACCACCCCCACCGGGTCCTTATTTTCCCAGCGCTCTACCGCATCCTACGGCAGGTGGGTTGCCTCTTACGGCAGGTGGGTTGCCTCTTACGGCAGGTGGGTTGCCTCTTACGGCAGGTGGGTTGCATCCTGTAATACGTCATACGACAGACTCGTTAGGAGTCAATTTCAGTTTCTTTTCGATATTCTTGGCTTTCTACGATTCATTCTTGGACATCACAATCAATCATTTGTTGCCCACGTTTAATCTTAAAAACCAGTCTTCTCAGTTGAATGCGATAGAAATCGCATTCAACTATGTCTATTACATTGTTTAAAATCCTGGTAACGCGAGTTAGCGTTGGTCGCTGGGAGTTGAGATCGTGGTGGAGGACGTACAATAGAAACAAATTAAAAATACGATTTTTTTCTGAATTTGTTTGAAATTTTGAGGGACGCAAAAGACCTACTAAAACGCAATATTTTTCAATCGTAATTTTGAGAGAGGAATAATAACTTTTTGTATTTCCGTTTGTGTTGTTTTACAAAAGAAACAAAGTAAGCTTAAAATTTGTTGAAAGTTAATTGAGTTGTGAGCTAGACATCGCATACTGTAAGCGTAATAAATTAAAATAAGTGATATACATTTTTTAAACATTATAAAGAAATAATAATTTTATGTGTAATGGGCCATAATGAATGTTATATAAATAATTTTCGAGGCGAAAATGTCAGCAGGTTTTTTTCTCGTTGTAAAATATACATAAACAAAGAAAATAAATGCGAACCGTTATTCATTACTATACAGTGCCGGAAATGGCTATACGACCACCCAGTTTTCTCCAAATATTTTTTATCGCACAAAGAATATGGGATTCTAATTATACGAAGTTAAACTACGTTTAAAAAAATTTCCGAGGATATGCGAAAAAAATAATTTTCTCGAAATATATGAGAAGAAATTATGAAAACTAGAAGAACCTAGGTGGAAATGGTTATAAGACCAAGATATGTTTTTATCCATTTTGGTATCTTTTTGTAATATTTTAACTTTAAAAAGTACAGTAATATAAAGAATATCTTGATTTTCGTCATTTAGGGCCTTTCTGGTGTACTTCTTGTGTAGTTCAGTGTCCTCACTTATATATTTTTTTAAGTAAAAATATGTCAAATAAGCCCAAATTGGACAAGACTCACTAAGGAGAATCTGCGCCGAGAAGGCGCAGATTTTCGGCTTCGTGAAATGCAGTAGAAGCCAACGGGACATCGCAATGGAAATAAAACGCTCAAAACCCATTGCACAATAATTTTTTGCTAATCCGGACGGCTACGGGTGAAAAAAGCACACTGGACCAACCCCAAAATTAACCGACAGGGACCTTATTGGAGACTTTCTGAGGCTTCTAAAACTTGCGCTACCTCTACCTCTATAAAATTGGCCACTGGAGTTGATGTAGCAGCACGACGCATCCGTTAGACATTGCATGACTCGAAGAAATTCAAATACATGACGAGGAAAAAATGCCCCTGTGCTCCAACAAAAGCATATTATCAACGGACAAAAATTTGCTGAAAAATATTTGCTTATTGGTAAAGGGATGGCACAAGATTATCTTCAGTGATGTAAAAAGTTCAATCATTATGGTCCAGATAGATGGCAGTGCTATTGGCACCACTGGACCGTGAGCCTGATTTTTTTTCAAGCGGCAATCTTGTGGTGGTACGGTCATGGTTTGGAGGGCGTTTAGCTAGCCGAAAGGGAAAATCAACTCTAGCTATTTTACATGGAGACAAGATTCCGAGGCTTACAAGCGCACGCTGTTTTACCAACTTCTCCCTTTTGCCGATGAGAAACATGAGGGATCATTTGTTTTCCAACAAGACAATGCTTCGATTCACACCTCAAAGTCAGCAAACATGTGGTTCCTAGAGCAGAATATTACTCTGTTTGCCGTGGCCGGCGCTTAGTCCTGACCTCAACCCCATTGAAAACTTATGGAGCATCATGGCGAGGGATGTTTACCAAAATGAGCGCCAGTTCCAATATGTGAGTGACCTGAGCACGGCTATCCTTCGTTCTTGGGATAATATTTCTCAAAAGACACTGGATTATGTGGTTAATAGCGTGGGGAGAAGATGCATTGAGGTAATTATGGCGAAAGGAGGTGAGATTACCTATTAAAATGAGTGTATGTGATCCACAAACGGAAAAACATATCGTGGTCTAATAACCATTTCCACCTAGGTTTTTCTAATTTTCATCACTTCTACTCATATATTTTGAGAAATTTTTTTTCGCATGGCGTTGGAACCGTTTTTAAACGTAGTTTGACCTCGTGTAGTTAGAATCTCATATTTTTGTGCAAGACAAAATATTTGGAGAAAACTGGGTGGTCGTATAGCCATTTCCGGCAATGTAAATCTTGCTTGTTGCTTTCATTCTTTGCCAACAGAGCGGCCATGAGACCGAAAATTGTTGGCCCGTCTAAAGTGTAAACTCACCTCTACAGTAACCTCCATCGTAGTATCCTACTAGTGTACATTGTGGTATCCTACTAGTTTAGGATAGTGTAGTGGGTCTCTTCACTCTCTTGTAAAAATGAGACCGGGGAACCACAACAACAACAACTAGTGTACATTGTGGTATCCTACTACAGTACGTTGTGGTATCCCATTTGTACCTTGACTCCAGAACTTGGAACGCTGTTCTCCGCCCTAAACAAATTTAGAGTCGCCTCGGCTTCTGATCCGCCTAATCTAATCAGACGCTGAGAAGAGTCTAAATTCTGTTTCCAATGAAGTCTTCTAATCGCTTAATATATATAAAATCAATTCAACCACTTTTACGTTAAATTGTACGACCTACCGAAACAAACCTGGGCTGAATGTTTATATCTCATGCAAGATATGGATGGTATAATCTAGATGGCATTGTTTTATATTGCTTTTTCCCGCTTTCTCCCGGTGTTTCTGGTTTTGAATAGAACTTGTATAGTATACCTGACCATTATCCTAACTTTCATACCCGACTTCGCTAGGATAACGTTCCTCACCTACTTAACATACCTGACCTAGTGGCCTAGTCTACTCATACCACCCACCTTTGAGTGGCCATCTTGCAACGAACCTAGGCTAAACTAACCTCTTAACCTTGCCTATCCCAACCCCTCAAGGGGACTTCTGACGCGTGTCCGTGCTCGTCAGAAGTCCTATGGGATTTCGATTGTTCCTGAGCGCCCCACCGCTGAGCTCGCGGTGTCTGACTGCAGGTCTCAGTTGTGGGGTTAAGTTATTATGTAGGTAGGATTCCTTACATTAAGTTATTATGTAAGTAGGATTCCTTACATTAAGTTATTGTGTAGGTAGAATTCCTTACATTTCCCTTCTCTGTCTCTCTCGTGCGGGCGACCGACGTCCCGTGTAATAGACCTCTTGTTCGAGTGTTTTAGTTTCTGTTGCTTTTCACCTGTCCCTCCTTGTCACCTGTCTCTCCTTGTCACTTCGTCTCTTTGAGATGCTAACGCTGCTTCTTTCGAGCCAGCTTCAGCGGGCTGGACATTTGAGACCTTCCGCCCCTTGTGGGTGATGATTAATTTGAGATTTTGAATAACTGAGAACTTCCGCCTCGCTGGCGATGTTATATTTTAACCTCCGGTGCGAAATAGCTTGATAACTGAAGCGCTAGAAAACCATTATATAACTACTTACTTGCCTAACCTAACCTACCCCAACCTAATCTATTCCTCCCACCGCAGGTCTCAACCATACCTGGGGTGGCGTAGTCAGACCTCCCTGAGTGGGGAGAGCGGGAGGTACCTTGGGGCTGCAGAGCGTCTTGCCCTCACGATGCCTCCTCACAAGCTCCTCACCAAGTCCTGCTCCGTAGACCAGTCCCCCAAGTCCACATACCAAGCCAGTCCACTACCAAATACGTCAACCATTCGCCAGGATGACAGCGATTATGGCGGCATACCTACCACTAAACAACCCACTAGTTCAACCTCCTACCGACAACCCACTAGTGCAACCACCCGACAACCTACCAGATCTACCACCAGTTCAACCCCAGTTCTGTCCATCAGCGACCACCACTCTAGTTCAGAGGACCTCAAGCCTCCAGGCTGCGACATCCACTCGTCCATCAAAGAGGTCACTTCGGCCATCGTCCACTACTGCACTGAACGTTACCCCCGGGCCTCATCCCCCAGAGGGGGCCCGGGGGGGACTGGGGACCGACGGTCCCCCCGACATTCGAACTCGGACCTCCGTCGTTCGGGGTCCCCGCGGCCCGTGTGGGTGGAGAGTTCATTTGTGGGGTCCCGACCCCCCGACGCTTCCCCCGAAGCTACGGAACTCCCCCCACTGCCCCACCTCGTGCCCCCCGTGGTGGCCCCCAAAGATGGGGGTGAGTTGAGGGTCTCGTGAATCCCCTTTTGGGGGAAAAAGTTATTATAATATAGGAGACTTAATGCGGTTAATTTGAACCTGCAATACAATATATATGCTATGCCAGCCAATGTACGATAAGTAAACGACCAAACCGGAAGGTAAATTTAAACTACATTCAGAGGCTAAGAGTGCTACGTGCTACATCGCGTGCTACATTACATGTGCTGCATTGTACGTATAACACTCGTGTACGAAGATACAGAAATCTTAAATCATAATAGATCCAAGCATGTAAAAAATATATAATAATGCTAATATGTAAGGTGACTGTTAAATATCATATTCATTTATCGACTCCCTTCTGGGGATCAACCTGGAGGTCAACTGCAAGAACCCCTTCTGGGGTAAACAAATGGGTTAATTAAATATGAAACAATAATGTAAATTATATTGATCACCAGGTTGTGTACCACTAGATACCAATCTAGGAAGGGAAAAATATCTATAACTGTAAGAAGCCAATCTATAAAAGTCACAATTTAAATTAATTATCATTATAACATCTGGTAGAGATCTATAACCATGGATTTTTATAGCATTTGGGACCAATTTGAGACTAATGATCACTATGACATCTGGGACCAATTTAAACTAACTGTCAATATAGCATTTGGGACTTGAATTAGCAATCATTATAGCATTCGGGACCAATTTAAACTAGCAATCAATATACCTAGTAGCATTTGGGATTAATCTAGAAGTAATAGTGGTGCTTCTAAAACTTTTTGGATTTAGGGGTATGTCTTGACGACTGTCTCACGGGAGGGCCTTAGGTAATGGGTATAACACCCTTTGTTGTACCCTCTATAATGGGTATAACATGTCATACGTAGGGGGTCCTGAGTTGTTTTGGTGAGTATAAATTGTCTTCTTGAAATGTGTAACTCTAACATCGGAGGGTATGAGCTCCTCCGTTGCGGGTATAACTGAACTTTTGAACGGTAGGAAAAATAGGGGCACTAGATGTACCGTCAAGGGGCACTAGGGGCACCGCCAGGGGCACTAGGGGCACCGCCAGGGGCACTAGGGGCACCGCCAGGGGCACTAGGGGCACCGCCAGAGGCACTAGGGGCACCTCCAGGCGCACTAGGGGCACCGCCAGTCGCCAGGGGCAATTGAGGCACCGCCAGGGGAACTAGGGGCACCGCCAGGGGCACAAGGGGCACCGCCAGGGGCACTAGGGGCACCGCCAGGGGCACTAGGGGCACCGCCAGGGGCACTAGGGGCACCGATGTATCGTAACTCGTAGGAATTTTGTGGGCGTCTGATTTTCTTTTTGAGGTTTGTTATTTTGATTGTTTTTTGTAATTTGTGAATTTTTATGCACAATAAAATTATGATTTCAGTTCATTATTTTTTGTTCTGTTTTGTTTTTTCCTTTTAATTTCATTTTGTTTCGTTCACTCGGCACATTTCGAATTTTTTTAAACGCTTTTTTATATTTATTGTGCGTTTGTTTGCGGGTGAAACCGAACGAAGAGTAAAGTAATTCTACGTGTGTTTTTGATAGTGATTCATATACACTTATTAAATTTCATTACAATTTCGTTGAAACTATAATTGTTCTCGGAGAAACTATGAGGCGCCAGTGAATTTAATATTTCAAAGCTCATCAGAGGTTTTACAAAGAACCAGCCGCTCTGATAATTTTATTATTTCAGTTATTATAATTTTATTGGAAATTCGAGTTATTATTGCTGGCGATAATAAGTCGTGTCATGTCACTTGCTCGTGAGAAGACGTTTCAGATGAAGTCGAGTCTGTTTTTTTTATATTTTCGGATGAAAGTGAGTCTGATTTTGTTTATATTAAGAACTAAATTGTCGATTCAGATAACCTGCTAGCTGCTGGGTAGGGTGGCCCAGTGGATATAGTTCAGAGTACCAAGATTAGATCAGTGACCTATGAGTTCGATCCCAGCTACCTGCAACAGTTCTAGTCAAATCGGCGAGGAGGCTGGGCGGGCAGTGAGTTGGGTAGTTGCGTGTTCGAGACTCGCAACAATTTGTGAATATCCTGTGAGCTTAAGAATCAGCGAGAGGCCTACAGCCTAATCAACGCTATGCTCGACTATACAATATTTAATGCCATACTTTATTATACCAAACTGATACCCTACCCTGCGTTTGTTCATGGCACTGTATTTATTTATTTATTTATTTTTGAGCCTGGACCGATGTTTTCTTATGTTGTGGCGCTCGTTTTCTTACGAGTTACGTTTTGTATGTCAGAAACTGGTGCTTCAGTTCATGACTACAGGGAGGGCAGAAGAGAATGCAGCCAGAACTGTAGGAGGGGCAGACGAGACCATCAACTTAGATAGAAGACAGTGAGATTTGTACCGTGCCTTTAGAGACTGAAGGAACTGTTGGAAGAGTAGAAAGGATAGTAGGATAAGGCAGAAAGGACTGCCCGAGAAGGCATCTGACACAGTATGAGTAAGCATATTGGGGCAGACGAGGATTGGGACTTGCCTTTGGAGGTAGACAATATTGCAAGTGGAGGTGGAACCGATTAGGTTCCACCTCCAGGTTTAACCGGTGACTCCAGGTTTAATACTCGATAGACCCCAAAACCTGTGTGTACACCACCTGTGCAGAACATTTCCGTATACCTTTTTAGTTTCCCCCGAAAGTTTTACCACAGGTTAGATGATGTATAAGTACCCAAATGGATGGCATTTAAATTAGAGTGGTTCCAATGCACTGGCAGTCCGTAATACCTGTTTGGCGATGGTTATGGAGCCTCAAGACGATCAAGCAATTAGAATCAAACGATTAATGCGTGCTTTAATCAACCTCAATCAGGCCTTCAATCTTTTGACCAAAATCTTCCTCTCGTCAAAAATGGGATCAGTTCATTCGTGTTCGTTCGCTAAAGGTTGTTTTTTTGAGCTGTTGTATTGATTTCTGTAGTGAGCAATGAGATCGAACTTAGCCTTACTCTTCCTTAAAATATGCTCATCTTTTCATCAATCAATTTTTTTCAATCAAACTTTCAATCACCATGAAGCCTCGCTTCATGCGTCAAACCGGTTCCTTCACGGTCAATCACGCTTGAATCAATTGATTAACTCGAGCTAAACGATCAAGACATTTGATCGTTTAGCAGCTGGGTTATTAGAATGTTTAGAATTCAGTGTAGTTTTAATGCGATCCAAAACAACGTACCATCGTTTAAAATTCTTCACGCACAATGTTTTCTTTAATACAAGAAAACGGAAGACCAAAATGATTTATTTGTGGGAATATTATAAAAATTTTAACCCAGACTGTGAGAAAAAATATTTTCTTTGTATTATCCCAAAAGTTTTACACTTTCTGCTTCTTTCATGCGCAATTATTTTTTTCTTTTTAGGAGTTCTTTTATGCAAACGATTACTTCCGCTCTGCCCTATCAACAGCAACAATATTAGAGTCTACGTGTAATCCTTTGTAGAGCACCTATAGCACCTAGTCTTTGGGGGAATATCGCTAGAACTTCATGCACTGGGAGCTATTTTATTGCTTTTTACAGTGAGTGAACTGAAGGGATCGTCCATCAAACTCGCCGATATTATTATATTCAATATTCTAACTGATATCTTAATTTCCGAATTTTCAAAAGCGAAATCAGCACCCTGTCCTCACTAATTTCTTAGTCGCCATGAACTCACTAACTTCAATATTATCATATTTTCAATAAATATTCAACTATAGTGTTCTCACAAGCGTCGTCACCACCACGTTCTCAATAATCCCTCCATTCCTCCATTATATTCTCACTGTAACTTTACGTTCATCAGTTTCTAAGTTACCTAATTACGTATGCTGCTTAAAGCCCCAACTAACCTACTTACCAAACAAGCTCGACGTTTTGCAGTACGTGTCTTATACTAAGTATTCATTAACTTATTTCGGTGCTTACTAACATTTTCTCAACTGTTACCAATATTTTCTCTCAACTCAACTCAACATATAACTTACCTCAACTGTTATATTAACTCCACTAACTTACTAACGCTCACTAACCTACAGCGGCGCGCAAGGGCAGCACCGAGGCAGTCCTAGCACAACAGTTGCAGGAGGGACAGATTTTGAGCCCGTCCGGCAGCGCTGTCTTCAATGGTGACAGCAGCGAGAGACGTGACAGTAGAACCGACAGGAAAGGGCATCATGAATTACTCAGCAAAGCAGACGATTTCGACAGGGAATTTGCTGTTGAATCGAAAAAATCTGCAATAACCTTGCCAGGTGCAAAACAGGTGATGCCCGACGCAAACCCGATGATATCACGGTTCAACAAGCATCCTGTCTCGGAAAGCATAATCCAGGGTCAAAACTCTATCTCGTATCCAAAAATCGCCCAGCAAAGGCACGTTAGGACTCTTGGTTTCATGAGAGGAGAAAGTATCACAAATGACGGTGATGGAGCTGGAGGAGATTCACTGGCCGAGTACTGCAGACAAAGTCGTCAACAGTACAGCAAGCAGAACGAAGACGCACAATGGGCAGACCTGGAATCGACCAAAGGTATCCTCCAGTCCTTAATGGCGGAACAAAACGACAACAAACAACAGCCCAGTCGTGACGAGTTTAATGAAATTAATATTTTAGACCATTCTTCTCCGGTGCAAGCAATGAATGAAAGCAGGTTGAAAGAAATTGATGACCGTCGTGTTAATGGACTGACAAAGGAAGACTCTGCAGAAATTTTGAGATCAAAACTTAACGATCTAAATTCTCCAGGGACGAACCCAGAAGAAGAGTCGTTGCCGGACGAACACAGGATCGTATCGCAGCTGTTGGAGTTCTCTGAGCAAGTGGACAGTGGCCAAAGCACGAATCAAAACGTAGCGTTTGAGACTTTGCTGGATTCGCTTCTGGCCTTGCCTTCTGTCTCTGCTGACGAAGCTCTTCTTGATGACACATTCTCAGGCAGGCCAAGTGATGAGATTGTGACTCAACAACCCAAGTCTGGTGGCATGGGATTGCACGATGACCAGAAACGTACTTCTGACTCGACCAAAAAGTTCATCAATCAGGAAACAAACATGACGGCCGAAGTTAAAGCAAGACAAAGGGTGATTGAAATGACTTCTAGGCTATCGGAAGAAGTATCAAGGATGCTGGCAGACGATACAAATACTTCGAAGTCAGCAGTCACAATCGACCACCCCAAACACAACACAGATGCCTCTCTTTGTACCACTTCAAATGAAAATGAGGAGTCTTTAAATAGTGCAACTTTTATGACTACTTCAACCAGTAAACCTTCTTCGGCAATACTCGAAACCGAGACAAGGAAATTGGAAGCTGTTCAAGAGTCAGCCAAACAAGCGAGTCCTAACCTGAGTTCGTCTTCTCGTTCCTCTTCCGGTGAAGCACAAGAGCTCCCAGGCACGGACCTCATGGCGGAACTCAAGTGTGCTCTCAGGAGGCGTTCTGACTGTAGCAGTCCTGTTAAAAAAAATTCTGCTCCACCAAAGCCCGCGAGAAAGACCCAGCAATCCGTAATTCACCCTGAAATGCAGCGGCCAATGAGCCCCGCAGATTCTCAGCCAGGCGAAGAATCCCCAACCCGACGCTACCACAATGAATGGGAACAAATAAGCAGCAGAATACAACCGCCAAATGAAACATTAGTAAAGAGTGCCGTTGTTGTGGAACAGAAACCCCAATCACGGAAGTCGAGCATAAATAAAGAAGTAGTGGCAAGACCCCAGCACGAGCTTTCTTTCGCCAAATTTGATACTGAAAATTCTGTGGGTGATACGTCCTCATTCAAGGATTTTGACGCGATGAGGGAAGAAAGTATTCCAGGAACTTCCGCATCGCAATCAAACGAATCCCTGCAGAATTTGGACACTGGGGTGCAAAAAGGCTACCGCCTGCGTTACAATTATGATCCTAAGACGGCTCGGGCAAGACCGAGGCCTCGGCAGAGTCTGGAGCAGCTTCAGCAACAGTCCCTGCAGCAGCAGCAGGAAAAGCTCCTGCACAGGCAACAAAAATATAAGCAACAACAAAGTTCCCAGCTCGAGAACAGCGCACAAGAACCTCAGCAGATGCAGTTTACCGACACAAGTGCTGTGTCGGGCACACAAGTTTCAGCACAGAGGGAAACGATACAAGATGAGCAAATGACTCACCAACAACGACGGCAAAATAACACAACCGGAGAAGCAGGGAAATTAGAAAAACGTGTCTCTGATGGAGAAACGACGGAGATGGAGAAACAGCAGATGGACACGCAACGACAAGACACCAAACAGCAGCCCAGAAATTCCGGTGAGCTTATTTGTACTTTTGTTTCACTTGAAATTCTCGCGAATGAGTATCCTTGCAATGTTGTCAATCCCACAGGAAATTCAATTACAATGATAATTAGGCCCGTACAATATTCCATTCAAAGTAAAATCGTAACTAAGTCATCGCGGCCCAGTCACCTAGTAACAGCGACAAAAACAGTAAATCGTAGAATTACAATCACAACGAAAATCACTACTTGGCAGGTTATGCACAATTTGAAACACACTATCATTGGCTGACCCCATGATACCCAACCTAACCATTGCCTGAACTTTACAGCATTGGCTGAGCTATACAGCATGGTCATTGGTATACATTGGAATATATTTCGGCTAGCATGCGAGTCAGATGTTTGTGTGTAATACGTTATAATTGAGTTCCCCCGTGAATCATCACCTAAAGAAGGTGCCTAGATTTCAAATGTTCAGCAAACGAGTCGTATATGCCTCTAGTATCTAGGTTACCATGATACCGGAGGCACTGTAGGTACCTTTATAAATGTAGACCATTGAAAAACGTTCTAGGTCGGACTAGTTTCCACTGAGCATGATGGTTTCATGTGATCTTGTTTGATTCCTGGAGTCGTCCAGTGACTATTTGAATGTTGCATCATGTGTCGTACCTCCCCAGCCAATGTTTTGTTCTTCGTTCTCATCGTGTTGCACCTCTCCCCATTGATGATGTGTAGTGCCTTACCTCTAACCTTGTGTACCTCACCTCTAACCGTGCCGTAACTCATATCTCAACGTTTCGTACTCCACCCCTAACCGTTATGTACCTCACCCTAATCGTGTCCTACCTCACCTCCCAAAGTTCCGTATTCCATCCCTAACCGTGTCGTACCTCACTCCTAAACGTGTCCTACCTCACCCCTCAAAGTTTCGTATTCCACTCCTAACAGTGTTCTACCTCAACCCTAACCGTGTTCTACCTCACTCCTAACTGTGTCGTACCTCACCCCTCAAAGTTTCGTACCTCCCGATGAGGTCCACTAAAGATTGATTAAAAGATGCCCACTTAATTGTACTTGTATTTGTTTTAATTTGTATAACGTGGCCATATATGACCCACCTCTTATTTGGTTCCCTCGCGCATGTTCTTGATGTTGATGTCCGTTATAGTCACGATGTTTCCTCCTCTACATTAATTGCATCTTTATATGCATCACTTACCCACGTCTCACGGTCTGAGGGAGTCCTGCCATGACTGATGTTGCTGTTCCCCCAGTGTTGTGAGTGGGAGTTAGCGGCGCACTGATCCCTCTCTTCAACTCCAATCCCCACGGTAACATTATCTTCCCCTTGATGCACATGCTAACCCATTGCACTGTCCTCTGCACTGTTCCCAGTCATCGCTTTACTCAGACTGCACTGCAGTTAGAAACATGAACAGCTGGTGGCAAATGAGAAACTAATTACATCACCAACTACAATCAAATGCTACTGCAACTGCACTGCCAACTGCAAAATGACAGTTTCCAGTAAATATGACTACCGCTAATAACAGGATCTGCTGCTATTAATTACATACTCGTATTACTGCCACTAGTACCCGTGTAGGAGGTGTACCATATCCTCTACATACCGCATGCACTCGACAGCACCGCATGATCTACACCAACGCCATCGTTTTTTTATCTCAAAATGTAGCTATCGCATGATGTTAGACAGTTTGATGTGACAAAGGAAAGTGAAATTGATTCACAAAATCCATTGTTATCTCTGGTTGAATCCACTACTGGCTATGTTCACGAAAGTTCTGCTTGTGTCAGAACTTTTGTCTTGTGATGTAATTCAAGAACAGGTCACAATAAGTACGGAAGTGGAACTGATTAAACGTGCACTTACCTTGCGTGAATAGTTGCTCAAACTAAAATTAACATTGATCAGTTCGTGCAATTATTGCTTCAACTAAAGCTAAATTGGCTTCAACCATAGCTGATGTTCCGTTAAGCTGACGTTAATGTCGATGGATTCATTTAAATCTTATGACGCTCATGCTAGTGCACAAACTGCACATGCTGCAAATGAAGTTTCGTTCAATTTCAAAGCCACTTCAAAATATGACTACGTCGCTTCAACCAAAGATTATAATGGAAGCCGAAATGACGTGTTTCCTCGTTTCGAGATATCCCCTGGCTATATGTAACTATACTATAGAATACTCACCAAGTCCTTGGATCCATACCGGATTATCTAAACCTAAATTTTACAGCAACCTGTCTCTTCATTATAATGCATGGAAACTCAGTGGACGAAGCTCCCTTTGTCCTATGTTGAAAAGTATGCCGGCTAGGCGCCTTCCTCCTATTCACATATTGCACGGTCTCTGGCATTCATTATCGACTACATTATAAACAACCAATTACCAGACGTACTTTATCGATCAAACGGACGCATCCAAATTATGTGCGCCGGATGAACAGCAAGTTCAATCTTAAATCCGCCTTCTTTGCTCGATAGTTCATAGAGTTTAGTTGTCATTCTTCCTTGGTTTTGGTTATTAAAATAATTACTTTTATATATTCCTTCTTTTACCTGACGGCTGAAAGCAATAACTTCTATAAATGTGTAGTTTATCTGTCTTTTCGACCCATCACAATGATTCGTATCGAGTGGGACTCGTATCGTACAGAAAAAAGTAGCTAAGGCCTCTCTTCACAAATCGGGAACAGCATTTAGGGCTCGTTTTGTATTTTGAGGCGATGTTTCTATGCTGATAGCAGTGATACACCTTTCTGCTAAATAGATAACGACATGCGGAGAACAGCACTTGTGCGCCACAGGCGAGAGCTCTAAAATGTGGCTGAAAAATGTGTCATGTAATGTCGAATTTTAAATTCATTTTATGCTGTCAATGAATTCTATATTTTCTCCCCTCAGCGGACACTAGCAAAACCGGAGTAACAAGAGGACGTCTCAGCAGACCGTCATCGCCGCCCCCTCCTCCTCCCAACGCAAGAGTGGCCACTTCTTCCAGCTCGGAATCAACACCAAGATCAATTGGTAGTTCGACCACCTCAACACAACAATTAGATGATAAATATGTTGCCCAAGTTCCTTGTAATCGCGGGGACGTCATTTCTGCTCCAGTTTCATTACAAAAAGCCCCTACCCCTGTCTCGAAAAGAAGGGTCATGGCAGTATCTCCGCCTCCGCCTCCTCCCCCGAGAGTGCGGTCCACTTCACCTGCTGTTGCAGCACAGCAATCATCAACGGTTGAACCCACCGGGAAGCGGGTGGGAGATCCTCCAGAGAAACCTCAATTAGGATCAGAGGGTAACATAGACAATACAATCCTGCAACCTCCTCGCCAAACTCCAGCACAAGATATTGGTACACAAGAAGAATTGAACACTAATATAGGCCCTCAGAGTTCTGACGAAGAGAGCCGAAAAATGGAAACCAGCGATTCTGAGATAGACGATGTGAAGGTAGCACGTCAAAAATTAAAGCAGCAACTAGAACAGCAACTGCAACTACGCATCCTGCAGCACCAAGGTGAACAGCAAATTCAGCAGCAGAGTATTGACGGAATGGACACCCAAAGTCAGCAAAGTAGGAAAACGAAACTAGAGAAGAGTCACAGTGAACAGTTGAGAGACGAACTACAGCAGCGTCTGTTACTACGCCAGCAACAGATGCAACAACGAAGCACAAAGACCCAGCAACGCAAACAGGGGCAGAGGCAAAGCCGAGATACGACAGTAGCGTCGCAGGCTCGAGCAGGAGGACCGCCTCCCGTACCTCCTCAACGAAAATCCTCCCTCACTCGTTCATCTTCACCACTTATAGCTTCCCCATGTAGGAGTGGAGCAACGTCTCCCCAATTAATCCCGGTCCGCGGCGTCAGTAGATCTTCTTCCCCTCCTAGTCCGCCAACAGCCGATGGGAGAACATCTCCATCTCCTCCTCCCGCTCTCACCTCGGGGTCTTTGTCCTCTTCTTTGATTTCATCGCCGGTGTCATCACTCTCTCCAACTTCGCCCCCGACGACTCTCTATAGACATCCATACCAGGAGGACCCAAAGCAAATAATTATTTCCTCGCTACAGAAAATACCTCCTCCTCCCCTATCGCAGAGAAGCTCTTATAGCGAAGACCAGGTCCGGGGCACACCTGGAATACCAGACGACCATTCTCAAAGCGATTGCTTAGAAACGTCTACCACGACCAGGGTAACAACAGCGCTTAGAACTAACGCACCTGACGTCGGTTATGATAGCAGCAATAGTAAACGGTCAACCTATTCTGTAAGCGTTATTAGATCCCCCCAAACAAATGAAATGGGGAAAATCAACAATCCTCCTGCCCGCGAAGATGACGACATGTCCATCAGTTGGCCAATACAAATGGTACCCAAAGATTCTTTCTCTCCGGCTTCTCAAATGGGTGAGTTTGTCAGAATATCGACGCAGAAAGAAAATCACGTCAGTAAAACAAATATTCCAAAAGAGCAAGACGCAAAGAGATCACGGACAGATTCTCCATCCGACACTCAGCAACATAGCAGTTTTCTGACAGGGAGCAACAATCTCGGAAATTCTTCTCCACGTTTCCGTAGCTTCAGTCCTGTGAGTTTCAGCGTGGCTCCAGAACCGCCTAACAAGCAGCAAGCATACATAACAAACCCAATAAATCAGTTAAACTCTTTAGACATTTTTAAAAACACGCCCGGCACAGCGCAGCGAATCTATGGTTCACATCAAGATGTGAGTAATTCTGGTGAATACGCTTCAGTCAGTAACCGTTACAACACCATGAGAGAAAGTCGTCACTCCAAAAATGGAGGGAAACGAGGATCAGTGCATATGGAAGACGAAGAGGAAAACCATAGATCATCTTTCGGCTCTTTTCCTCCAGTGACAAACGACTTGAAAAGAAGCTATATCTCGTTGGAAACCAACGAAGGTAGCGAATCTTTCCGGGACTTCAACATCAAAGACGAAGATTGTGGCGATAAACTGACGGGCGTCGCGACCACGCCGGATTCCTGCTCTGATAATGGCAATGACAACGCGGCCAGTGACACGACTGACCAGACAAGTGACAGCATTCAGATGGACGTGTGTGAGTCGGTTGATTCTGGAAACGCTGCATTAGGGGTTGTTAAGTGTCGCAATCCAACCTGCAATAAACTCAGTGACACCGAAGAGCTGCGTATTCTGTTCAAAAGTTGTCACAATTGTGGATCTTCTTACTGCTCGCGTGTGTGCAGGAGATCGCACTGGGAGAAGCATAAGAAAATTTGCCAGAAAATAAGGGCAAATAATGCTGCACGTGAAATAGTGTCCATGGTAAGAGACAAAGAAGTGTCACTCGATGCTGCTAGTGCCGTGGGACGTCGGGGTGCTCTAGGCCTCGGAAGAGGCGTAGTCAAAATGTTTTTCCCTGACATACCCTCGGCAGAGTCTTTTGTTGAAGGCAACTACACGCCAAGTATGCACTACCACACTGCCAGCAACCTTATGCCTAACGAGATGAGCCCGGATGTCTACCGTAGCCTAATGGAGATGTGTAGAAATTACAATATCGAAAGCAAGTTCATTCTTTACGTCAGCATATGTATCAACAATGAGATCACTAGTGGACCATCTAAGTGTAAAAGAGAGAACGTCTCTCGTGCGGCTAAGATAAAACTTTACGAACCCCCAAAGGTTTGCGAGAAGCAGATTGCGTTCCGACCGGCAGATAAACCGGTCAGTTCTACCTTCAAGGGCTCTGAGAATGAACCAAAGGAATCGAAGGGGTTAAGATTCCTAACATTCGCACCTGATACTCGAGAAGGAGGTGGCCACATTGAGCGGCAGAAGACTCCTACTGCTCCTTTTAGGACCCCACTTGGCGATACTGAAGATGATGAGACAGGTAGCACCTCTGCATCAGGTGATGTTGCCAAAAAATTATCATACAATTTACCTTGGAAGAATTTTCAGCACTGTTGAAATTTCTTCAATTTTCCTTAATTTATTAAGAAAGACCGTTTCATTACTAATTAAAATTCTGAAAATGTGAATTAAACGCAGGAATAAAATAAGGTGTTGTTAATTGTGGGCCAAAATATTTTCGAAATGTTGAGATTAACGTCAATGGATGGGAGTAGCATTCCGATGGATAATGAATGTGCTAGGAAATACAGTTGTTTTTTTCATTATGGTCGAACATATGATCGGCTTAGAATGAAATATATTTACTGGATTAGACATTGAAAATGAAACCTATAATAATTTATCTCCTAATTGAATCTTTATTAAACATGAGAATAATAATCTCTCCTTCTTCCTTAGATGACTTGGAGACCTTGATACTGACTCCAGCGCAGCCCATGAACGTGTCTGCTAGAGAGAATCGTTCCATGGCCTTCCACAACATCGTGCGCCACCTCCGGACACGAGGTGTCCTCCTCAGGACACAGTATCCTGACCTCTACCATCAACTTGACGTCTACGCCGACTCTGGGGAGACGTTCGCCCCAATGACCATAAGACCTAAAGATGCAGTGACAGGAAGGCCCTTCGTGTGCGTGATTATGCCTCAGCCCGACCCTCAGTACGTCAGGAAGTTGATGGCGACGAGCAGCAACGTGAGAAAAATCGATGTGATGAAAGCGCCTTCCTCCGATGTACCCTGAACCTTCCTATGCCTAACTAAAGGGGAGGCCCATTTCACCGTAAAGGATGGAACAATTCCCAAAAGTCGAATGACTTCTTCCATAATCATTTATATAACATTAATGTTGTTTATAGATCGACTCAATTACGTGTCTCTGAAACGATGGTCATGGTATACCAGTACTATTAATGATCACTTCCTGACGTCACTGTCAATTCCCGAGGGCTACTTATGTCCCATTTTTGAGTATTAGACATATACCTGCTAACGTGAGCATAAAATTTAATATTTCAAAGCCTTTGGAAATTGTAGATGTATAGCCGAAAATGGATCCAAGTATTAGTAATATTTAAGTTAGTTTAGTCATCTTAGGATTAATTTTGATGATTACTTCTGTCTCTGGGGCCGAATTATATAAACATCAAACCCCTTTTGATCTACGATAGTCATAAATCTTTTTTTAACGCATGCCGCTGGTAGCTTTAGTTCAAACTTGAGTGGAAATTAATTGTGTATTTCCAACTGCACTATCATTTTGCGTACCTGACGCCAGAGTAGACTTTGAAGAAGAAGTTAACAAGTGTAACCCCAAGTTTTGGCTGGGTCCACGCCATACTGCCGAGCACGCGCCAGGCATATGCCAGTGCAATATTTTTTAATGCATTTCATAGAAGCATTCATACCATCCATGCAAGGCATATGCCATGCCCATGGTGTGAAGGCTTCTATTGAAATGCAGTAAAGAATATTGGACAGGACCGTGACTGGCAGTATGGTGTGAACCCGACCTCATTCATATATTCGTGCAACGTTACAGCGTAGTTTGATTCTCGCTATAGCGAGCCTTCAGGAACTGTTATGTGTGAAACTGTTATCATTCTTAGAAGAAATTAATCTAGTTCTGTTGTTATACCTGTTGCTGTCTATCAATTGTTGTTTAAATCTTACCTGGTGGCGGTAAATTGAACTCCGTGTGAACTGTGATGTAATTACCTTGATGTATAACACCCTAGTTACATAGAAGATCTTAACATTTCCCTAGACTTAGTTATGCAACAAAACAAGAACAGATCATTCCTATAAGCTTAGAAGAGTAAATTTTCAAGTTCCAGACATTCCCATAGGTCTAATCACTGGCACCAGAGAAACCTTACTATCCCATATGGTTTAAAAAATATAAGAATTAAATATGAACTCATTCCATTAGCCCTAATAATGCAAACCAACTTGATCCCAGAACCAGTTCCTTCAAAGTGATTAAATTAGGCTTAGTCACGAGGGGAAACTTAGCCCCTAACCATATTTGAAAACCCAGTTATACTAACGGTGCATATGTACATAATTTTGAATAAATCTTACACCAAAGTTCAATCAAAACATTTATGGGCCCATCCTCACGATTATAGGCCTAATAAATGCATATTACGAGCCTTATGCCGTATTATAAAAATTAGTTACCAGTACGTAACTCCAACAGCCAATCACTTTCCAAACTAAGCCAATCAATAACAGGCGAGAAATCGGCCTCTTCGTAAGTGCTTAAGGCGCTACGCAAGTACTATGGCCGCTACGTGTTTAAAAATTTTTTTTTAACTTTTTAAATTGGGTCATGGGCATTAGATATGGTTTTAAATATGGTCTAATTCCAAACTTTCTACAGTTCTTGTCAAGGTACGAGATTTTCCAACTCAACATACATGTATGGATGATATAACTTCATCGTGCTGATATATGGTGGTTATCTAGTGACATCGCTTCTAAATTAATCAGTGGTAGAGTGTTCGCTTTGCATGCGAAAAACCCCGGGTTCGATACCCGGCACCTCCAGTTCTTTTGTTATAGAAATCATGATTCGAGTCAAGCGGGCCATTTAACTGCATCGACTTTATTACCATGTAGTAAACAGCAATAATGAAATTCTTATGCATTGCTTTCAGTTCGATTAGAAGCGAGCTTACATATTATATTATGGGCATGTAAGGTCGCTCATCTTCACTTAGAACAATGAGTGAGACGATGTACATTTTTTGGATTTGTGTTGCAGAGCAAAACTGAGTTAGGATGACCCACATGTGGGTTAAAAGTGCAATAAAGTTACTACTCAAACATCCGTTCGTTTTAAAAAAAGGTACAAAAGAACGGAAACGAAAGATCTTTTATAAGATCTTCTACAGTTGTGTAAGATCTTTTCCGTAATTTTTTTGCGTAAAAAATTTTTTCTTTGTAAAAAATACCTTTATACAAAAGAACGGATTCAAAACCTTTTTTATTGATGCGAGTGCGAAAAAAGCATATTTTTCCGTTATCATTTAGCGTATTTTGAAAAGGGGGCCGAATGGGTAGTGAACCCCCTCCCCCCTCCCCTCCCCCCTAACGAAATGTGTATCCATTTAGAGTTAAATGCTGGTCTTAACTACGTTATTATAGGAATTTTAGCCTTCATCTGTTATATTGTTCATTTTATTTATGGTTCATGCGTTTTCCTTCACCAAACTTAACACTAACTTTCACTAAACCTAACTTTCACGAAATTTAACCAGGCAACTTAACCTCTCCGCATATTTTATAACCACTTTATTATTTTAAAAACAATATATAACATAGTGCATGCTGGCTTCCTCCTAATTACATATGAAAGAACCAATTATTGAAACTTGTAATGATGATAATGATTGTAAAGTATTCGCTATTCAATCAAGAATAATTATGTTAATTGTTGCAGCTTCTCCCACTCGCTTAGAATTGCATCATTATAAATAAACTCATTAAAAACTCAGTAATATTTAATAACAAGGGAAATAATAAGTAATGATAAGTATAACTGTTTTAATCTTGTTCTGTGTTGGACTTATTAATGAGTTATTTAAAATTGATTGTTAAAAGTAATGGGTTATAATTACTTATTGAAAGTATTGAGATATTTGCAAGAAATATTTAATATATATGACAACATATCGTCAATTTTGCGGTCACGTGGATGTGATAATGTGGGAGTGGTGGTGAGGTTGTGATGATGTAGGGGTGATGGTGAGGATGTGGTGATATGAGAGTTGCTTTGATTTTACGATGGTGTATCGGCCATCATAAGATAACGGCACGAGTGTTATTAAGTAAGAGGTATTGCAGACCATTTATTGTTATACTATCATTATATTGTAGGTACTCTAATATCTCCATCATCGTGCGTGGAAACTGTCACGTTTCATAGTACGTAAAATGTCGTGTACATTGTACGTCTTGACAACTGTACAACATGGTTTACAACTGAGTAATGATGTAATGATAGAATGAGCCTATAGCACTCGGAAAAAAACATAGGTCATATTGTGCAATTAGTGACACACTTTCAAATTCCCAACACGAATATACATGTATAGCGGACGTAACACCGATATGCCCTTTCGAAGAGATAAAAACTGGGTCAGGATGACCCATATAAATGCAAAAAGTGCATCGTTGTTTGCACAAACTGTCATTAATTTAAATAATAACGTACGTCTTGAGGTACACACTGAAAAATTAATGATACTTTGTCTAAACAGCGATGCACTTTTCCCTTGTGGTTCATCTTGACCCAGTTTGGCCTGGAAAAAATACCTATCAGTGCTACACGCAGCAAGAGTGTCACTATTTGGACAACGTGAACCATCCAATTTCTGGATGTATGATATATGGTGCGTTGTTGGTTCGGTACGATGGTTCGTTAAAGTGGTACGTTAAATTAGTACGTCAAGTGGTACGTTCTGGTGGTGCTTTCAGTACCCGTATAATATGTTCACATGTTGTGCTACACAATACAATGTTGCAACGAATGCAATATCTTATTCACCTCCGTCACCCAGGCCTGCATCGTCAATTTTTAGCGCATTTTCTCATTCAAGGAAAAAATGCACTATTGTGCTCGCCATGTCCGTCTGCCTGTCTGTCCGTCCGTCCGTGACCTCAAGTTTTCGTCGACGAAAAAATGCGCTCTCTGACACTCACTGCAGTGAGTACTGAATTATATTTTGGAGACATAAGACGACGGGGTATCCAAGCTGCTAAGACCACTGACATTGTAGCGGTGAGTTGCGGGTTCGAGCCTTAGCTCGCTATGGAAATTTTTATCAGCAGTGAAGTTATCAACATTCCAGTAGGTTAAACGCAGCTTGATTGTAACAGTGAGCATTGGGTTCGAGATTCAGCTAAAGAAAATTCTAGCTAACATCAACGACTTTTATGAGTAGTTAGAACCATTAAGATTGGAGTGGTATAGGTTGTGGGTTCGAGCTTCAACTATCTGTGGAATTCTGGAATACATCTGGGACTATACTTTCAAAAAAAGTTATGAGATCGTAAGTTCATCAGCCAATCATTGACGGCCTTTCAAGCAAAATCCACCAAAAATAGACAAGAAAATAGAGCGTAAGTACTTACGTTCACTGAGCGAGTTTTGAAAGTATGGCCCCAGTAACGTATCCGGTTGGTTAAGAGCAACAAGATTGAGCAACTATGAGTTGAGGGATCGAGCTTCAGTTAGTTTTAGAATTTATGCGCTGAATGAAATAATTACATGTCTCAGCTACCCACAGTGATCTGGCGTAAAATTACACCACATTACACCACCACTATAGCCGTGCAAGGCACCTGTTATGCCCATGGTGTGAATACTTCTATGTAAATACATTAAAGAATATTGGACTGGACCGTGCCTGGCAGTATGGTGAGAACCCTGCCTTACCGTGCACTGGTAAGTGTATTTAGAGTGTTCCATTAATCATGACAAATTTGCCTCCATTTTTCAATGAGGCTGATTTAGTAAATTAAAATAGCGAGAAATAAATTATGATATAAATTGAGCTATATTATTTTATGTTTATAAACTAGAGAACTAACTTGTAAATTAATTGAGGAACAATGGAAGTAACGCCATGTCGCTTGGCCGAAAATCATGAGAAGTTGCAAGAGAAGTACTGCTTGCCTGCCTCTATTAATGAACGATATTGTTCAAGGAAATTTTGACCCATTCCAATACGATTAATGTTCTTTTTTTCGATTGTACAGCAACTGCGTTCATTTCCCTAAATTTATGTAAATGAATCATCTCTAAATAGTTCAACCACAAATGTGGCAGTTATTTGATTAAATATTTGATTAGATATACCCCTAAGTTCCCATCTTGATTTACTGGACGATAGCAAGTCATTCGTTTTGTATTTATGCAGTTGATAGAGCACAATGTGGCAAGGTGTCTGGGTTGTCAAGCTGGCTAAGTCGTGAACTTCAGACGAGAGAAACCGAAACTCGAATGTCGGAGCTGCTGTCGGCGTTTATCCGATGAGAGAACTTAGCGGTAAATTATTTGAAGCTTTTCTACATCTTTAATAATTGTGTATGATAGTTTGTAATTGATATCACAAGTGTATATACGCTGCTAATGTTCGACAGTGAAGAATATCTAATCTAACTTGTAATTGTTAAGAGTCACGTGTCGGTGATTTCGGCGAGAGAGAAAAAAATTATTTCAAATCGTTATTGCGTCGATAAACGGTCAAACTCAACTGCCGGGCGCGCTGGTTTGAGCAGAAGCTCGCTGAGAGCTGCGTGTCCGCAGGACCGAGCCCACCAGAGCAGGTGCTTAAAGGTTAATTAGCGCTGCTCCGCGGCTGATGATATCGTCTTTACAATTCTGCTCTATCGCGGCTTTGTCTCGTCTCTACATTGGCCCTATGGCCCGCGACGGCCGATTCTATTTCCTGCCTGGACTTTAACTGGGCTGAATGGCCGGACTGTGCCTGGCGTGACAGCTTAAACTAAGGGTCCTAAACATTTATTAAGAGTGTGTAATCTTTCGAAGGTTCTTGGCATGAGCTCTCGGGAACGTAGCGTAGTCCCGATATTATCATACGGGATCGTACCGTAATCTGTGACTAGCCGGAAATATTGGATAATCCTACTTGTCTCAGCCAGTCACACACAAGGAGACTTTGCTATCACTACTCAATTCAAGACGCCTCTGCTACCCATTCAATTTTTACCTGCCTTCGACTCAATGGTAATGATCTATGAATAAACAATTTATGACCTGTCGATTTATAGAACCTGGGTTTAAGCATTAGTTAATTCAAGATTTATCCATCCATCACCGGCTTAACCCTTGACTAGAGCTAGAGGATAAAGATAACGTGGGTGCCATTAGTTAATAGTCTAGTGAAATGACCTTACCGCATTGAATTGTTAAGTCAACCGAAGATGACGAAGTGACTGAAGCATTGCGTAAATGAAAATATAGACATCTTGCGGGGAAAAACGGTAAAATGTCACATTTACATCCATAACAACTTCCAAATTCACATTAATGTTTAAAGATTGTTACCTTTTACTAGCAGACCATAAATTTTCATGTATAACCAGCTGTGTGATCATGTTCTTCGAAATGTGTCTTATTTACATCTGAACTGATTGCTTGCTTCATACTAATAAATTTAACAAGTTCCATTTTAAATTTGTGTAGAATTAGAATAAATATAGCTGGCTGTTTTATTTAGTACTACTTTCAAACGTTAAATTAACAGAGTTTATAAAAGAAATTAACAGAGTCTATAAAAGCATAATATCTGCATCCGCTAACCCAGTCGACTCGGTTGTTTAAAGGTTGTTGTGAGCCAAGATGGTCTGACTCAATTTGAATAGCATTTTTAGATACTTTCTGGATTAATTGCGGAACGATAATATAGCGGTGAATCGCTAGAGATTATTTCCGATCAAAATTCATCTTTAAACGTCCCTCAAATGACTTAGGAACATCATAAGAAACTGATGAATTATTTAATGTATATGTATATGTTGTACTGCTCCGCCATCTTCAATGCACATCACCGACGACGTCTCTATCAAATTGACGTAGGTGCAGTACGGGCTACGTAGATAGAGCTGCTGAAATACCTCCCAACAGAGAAGGTTAAAAGACCGCTTTTGAAGTGAGAGTGAGTGAGTTGCTTCTACACGCAGCATGCATGAAGGGAGTTGTTGTCCAAGTGTCAGCTTGGTGTCAAGTCGATATGTGTTCGCAACCTCGGTGGAACGACAAGGCAATTTGGTGTTAAGTAGACACAGCCTGTTCCACAACTGAGAAGCCTCTGGACTATAATGAACCTTATATGTCAGCCGTTAACTTTATATACTAAAGGTTTTGATAT